CACCACAACCATTATATCTAAAAATCATCATTGCTCTCAGATCCTTGACTTCCATCTGTATTCCTTGAATCTCTATCTGTAACAGTTACATGCTAAACTAAGTACGTACGTAATCTATATTATATTTGAGAAAGTTCACACTTTGGCCGCCTAAAGCTTCCCAACCACTGAAATTTCGAATTGACAAAATTAACGGTGGTTCAGAATCTTTTAAAAGCCTGAAGTCACTGTAGTTTAATTTTCAGTTTTTCATTAGTTTCGTTTAGATCTAATCTTGGGAAAGTCCGTCTTCTAAAACGCCATTGTAAACAAGTGAGGTTTCCGTTCACTAGCCGTGCGTACTGTTTCCACACCTTTGAAGTTGCAGAGTGTACAACCACGAAAGTGGAATAGAGAATCAATTTATACATCTATTATATATTTGGCACCTTGGAAACACGCGAGTCACTTTTCTCTCAAAATGTATTGCTCCATTCCAGTAGAGTGTAAATATAGTAGGTCAATGACTTTCAGCTTATGTTAATGCACCGATCATTCCTTTCTTCAAAAGTGGGCTCAGCAAGTTAACTATAAAAGGACATTATCATACGCACATTTTTCTACTAATTAGATGGTGTGAAAAATGGTGAAATTGTATCGGCTTAACGCCCCTATCAACACTGTTAGGTTATTTAAGAGGCGGGACCTCCGAGTTTAACGTCCATCTCCGAAAGGACCGAGTCAAGTGGGAAATCCGTGTTAAATACCTTTCTCAAGGACACAACATCGGACCGAGCTGAGGCTCAAACCCCCCTGAACACGCAATCTAATTATTACGAGTTTGGTAGCCTAACCACTAGGCTACTGACGCGACTGGGCAAGGGACCAAAAAAACTGAAATAATTAGATGACCATATCACTTACATAATATGGTCTCTTTTAAGGGCAAGCGGGCTAACCCAGATATCAGGGGTTTCCAGAAATCTTGACCTATATCAAAAGTAGGCATTGCCCTGCATATAGGAGAAGTTTGGTTTCATTGGTGTGTATATTTGTTTGGGTATAGAGACAAACTCTTCTTGTCTTTTAAAGAAACTGAACAACGGGCAAAAATCTTTACCTTCGATTTTCTCAAAACAGCATTTTTCGGGATAGCTCCCTTGCGTTTAAAAGAGACCATATGACCATATTACGTACATAATAGGATCATAATATCACTTACATATAGCCTCCGTATCACACACCCAGCAAAGTGTGCCACTGACAAGTTAGTCTCTCCCTTTTCCCAGCGGGAAGTGAGCGCCACCCAATCTGAGCGACTCACCCGCAAACAATGACGGGGATTGATGGCAAACGTCGGTCGTCCAACCGGACTGCAGTCATCATTATCTGTCATTATCTAGGCTGGTTTATCTCCCCCCAGCGCTCGTGGTGTCCACATTTTGGGTTGACCTTTGTGTCCGAGAGGGCAAAAAATCCCGCTGGTGTCATAGAATTTTAGCGTTTAAAATCTGTTCAAGGTTCTGCTAGTTGGAAAAGTACAAATAAAAATTTTAAAAATGGTTGGGTTTTTTTCGACCACATCGACCAAATTTAGATAATTTAAAAGGCGAGCACACACGCACACACACACACACACACACACACACACACACACACACACACACACATACACACGCACACACATACACACACGTACACACTCACGAACACGCTTGCAAGGCCAGCCATAGGCTGAGAGGGAAGCAACATCCTAGCAGAAAGATTGGGGTACTCGATTAAGAATGAGGTATCGTGATAAGATCAGGCGCTCGTCAAAATATTGAAATCGAAGGAACAGACATTTTCCCGCCAGTTTGTTAATTTCTTTCAGATTTTTTGTTTTTTAGCTCATCACCTTTTATGTCTATATAAAAACACATTTTCATGTGAATTTTACTGGAAAACTTAGATTAAAAGCCCTAATTGTGTAAATTTCTAGTATTCAAGTACTCTTTATTTAGGTTATGAAAATTACCAAACATTGGCGGCCTTTTTCTAGCTTTTTTAACCTCTGAAACGAGGGGAACCCCTTCCTACTTCAATTGCAAATATGCCAACTTCTATTCAAGATAGAATATGTGTATTTTTTCATCGAAAGCAAGTCAAATGAATAAGCTTCCAGATGAATCCAATAACTCCACATGCTAAAAAAATTTACGAGCACCTGTTTCCACCTCGTCGTTATTAATGGTCTTCTCAACTAAGCATCGAACTCGGGTGTTGTGCGTGCTACAGGGAAGTGGCTATTCATTACACTAGGAGCCCAAAGGAGGGGACAAAAGAGGTGAGGGGGTTGGGGAAGAAAGAGAAGAAGAAAGCAAACGACAAAACATTCCTGGAGAGCAAGAAAGGAGGTGAAAGGAGACAATTTTTTAGAAAAAAAAGTTTTTGGTCGCTACCCGGATTCGAACTCGGGACCTTTAAATGAGAGGCGAACAACTTAACCTCTAGGCCACGAGAGCCCCCATTCTGTGAGTTTGAAAGGGAAAGAGCATAGTGACAGTGCATGACCGGCGTCTTTAATGTACGTAACTGTTGTGCGCTAGGTAGATATAAGGAGAAGGGGATCCAAGGAGGAGAAGGGAAACACAGACACCTGTGCCGACCAGTCCGACGGGATCCCAACCAGATTATGATAAAGACTATAAGCAGACAGATTCTGGGATGGATCCTGAAGAAGTGTGGG